CTGCGGTCGACCGCTGGGCGAATCTGGTTCTGTCAGTTTTGTTTCGGATCAGGTTTTGTTTATACCGAACCCAATTGTTACCCTAGGCATTTATACTCGTTTTGAAGCTCTCAAAACCCTCTTTTAAACCCTAATAGCCTCAGCCCCCTCTTCTCTCTTTTTTAAACCCTAAAACCCCTTTCTTTGGCGATTCTTGGAGGATTTTGGAGGAGTCGACGCGAGATCCATCGGTGTTTAGTGAAGGAGGATCGTTCTCACTCGTTTTTGGGAGTTCATCTACACCCCTCAGGTGAGTAACTTCTCGCCCAACCCTATCCCATGTTTTAAAAGGTTTTTATAATGATTTTCATGAGTTTTAATGAGCCTAAAAGGTATTATTGTATAAAGATGGATTCTCTATAATGTGGATTGCAAGAATCAAATGTTTCAGTTTATAAAAGCTCACCAATGTTTTGTTTATTGAAGATCTAGATCTGAAATTTGCTTAAACAAGAGTTAAATCACGATTTACTGTTATCAAAACGTTTTTAATATGTTTCATATGTATTTGGAGTTTTGGGGGTGCAGTTTAAATGCTTAGATTTAGTTGTTTTTCTTCTGTTTGATTTTAGAGACGTTGGAATCTTCGTTATCAGAGAAATCATCAAATTTTATTTCAGGTTTCGAAGCTGACAGAAACCCAGATTTGGGCTTCTGTCTGCTTTACGATCGACCGCAGTGGTCGACCGCAGGGCGCGGAGAAGAGGCAGGATTTGCCTGCGGTCGACCGCGATGCCGCGGCGGTCGACCGCGAGACGCGTATCAGAGTGCGATCGACCGGGGCGGTCGACCGCCGCACAGTCTGGAGCAAAAATTCCTGTTCTGTGTATTTTACTCATGTTCGAGAGTTTGCCTAGATTGTCTGACTCTGGTGTTTAATCTTACTATGTATTAATGCATGATAGATGACCTGAGGGTACGAATTGGGGATTTACACACTAATTTGAGTGTGAACTGATATAAGTAGATTTCACTATGTATCTCAGCGACATTTTCACAAATTTCACAGTCCTCGTGTTGGACTAAAATCCATAGAAGTCCTCGTGTTGGACTATAATCCATAAAAGTCCTCGTGTTGGACTATAATCCATTTCAGTCCTCGTGTTGGACATTTGCCACTTATTCCATGAGTTTGGAAACTACAGTATATAGTTCCTGTATCAGACATAGTTCTTAACCCTGCATATGACTTTCTCACAGTAGTTTATGACATGACACTTATGTAGATTTTGACATGATACTCATGTAAGTAATAACATGATACTCATGTAGGCTAGGTCATGGCACTGTATTTATGCTCTGATATTTGTTGTATTTCTTTTATTATTGTTCCTGTATTAGAACCTCGGGTTTGGTGTTTAGGGGCTTACAATTTGAGATATAAGGTATATACATGAGGGTTTCCTTGTTTGGATTATTTCGTTCGACGTACCTATGCTCGTGTTGTAATTTCCTAAATATTAAAACCCATTTTTTTGCTAGGATCAATGATTTTAACTATTATGTAATAACTGCATTTTTCTGTATACAACGAGCCCTTTTCCTTGGGGTTGGTTGTGATGTTGATCGCTAGCACTTTGACGCTCGTTGTCCCTCCCCCTTTCAGGTAACGAGGCAGGAGCCCGGAGAGTCGCAGGTTGATGGCGATGCACTTTAGCTTCAGCCGTAAATTTAGTTATATTTTCTTTTGAGCTCCACTATAGACTTTTGTTTAGACATTTGAGAGTTTTATTCTAGAAGTTGTAAAGGCTGTGTGCCTTATTTCCTCTTGTCAGACATTTTGTATTTGAGACTTGTTGAGAAACTCCAGTTCATTTATTTCAGACATTTACTTGTATTTCAGTATGTTAGATGATGAAATATTAATTTGATCTCTATTATTTCATCAGTTGATTCTTGTATTATCTTTTACTTGTTTTTGTACCTACACCTGTTATTGACTCTACTAGAGAGATAGTAATTATGATGGTAAAATATGTTATTGCACGGTGTGGTACATGACAGGTTTGACATTCCTGGTTTCATCTTGGACTGCAGTCTTGTGTGAACCCAGGGGCGTCACAGAAACCAAATATCGAATACCTTCCAATGATGCCTCCTTAGAAGGCCCCCAATTTCCTAATGAACACCACCTAAAAGACCTCTCAATCAATGGATAGAAGTGCCAAACTCCACCTAGGTCTTCTTGCTCATACCAATGTACTCATAGGACTTCAATATGCAGGTCAAAGCACTCCTCAATAATCCAATGTATCGTATTAACAATTAAATATCCCAACCTCAAATCCTTCTATCTCAGCCAACTATCTCAAAGCACCAAAATAAACGAAGAATAGATCCAGACTGATAAATGAGAGATTTTTACCTCCAATTGAAACCCTAACAAGAGTCTCCGAACGATCTCACCCAGCATGACGGAAACGAGATACAAAAATAGTAAAAATCCCACCTTTATGTCCAAACGAAGCCCTCGACAAACTTCCAAAATGATCTACTCCTCCAAATTGCCCAAGCGTAGCCCGAGCTCTGATACCACTTGTTGTGCGCAGTGGAAATTTCGGAAGCACCTCTGGTGCTCGACAAGAGAGTAGATCTCAACTAAATCTCTGTTTTACAAAGGAAACAAGAACCAAAAATAAAATATCTCAACAAAATAGGATATCAGCTCTTCCTCTCATTAGTTCTAGGACTGACCTGTCGAGGGAACCTAAACTCTCTATTATAAATCACGGCACAAACAATCAATTTTAACGTGGTTTGACAAGTTGCCTACGTCCATAACTCTCTATTATAAATCACGGCACAAACAATCAATTTTAACGTGGTTTGACAAGTTGCCTACGTCCATAGGGCAAGGAGGAGGGAGATCTACTATTAGAGAAAGAGAATACAAATGGGTTTACAATCACACAAATTAAACCCTCAAACTAACTCTCAAATCTCTCTCAAAAGGATGCTGAAAACCCTCTCAAAATCAGCACAAAGGACTGCACAAAACTCTTCTCAAAGTTGGCGGCTCTACTTCTTTTTCAGCACTTTTTCCGCCGCGATTTTCCCTTGCATAGCGAATTTTCCCTCTGCCTGTACGCAGCCGAACTCTCCCCCTTTTGCACAAAACCCCAGGATAAACATACGCTGATATTTATAAAGCTCAAATCGGGTGGGCATGTAGCAAAGAAAACTCCTCAACACGTGATCTCTTCATGCTTGACGTGGCCCCCACAAGCACTCTTCCTTTCACATGGTTGCTGCTCTGGGTTTATCATGAGACACATCCAAGTGTGGCCCCCACTTGCCTTTTTCCCCTCTGCGATCTCTTCACGAGTTGGAAAACACGTCATTCATTCACAAGAAGCACGTTGCAGTACATTATTTCTACAATCTTCTTCCTCATTTTGCTCTACACCACAAAAGAAGGAGAAAGAAAACCTATTAAGCCTTTTGCAAAGCACTGATGGTTCAAAGCTGTAACCTGCTTTCCTTTTAGTTTTTTGGTAGATAATATATAGTATATTAATAATATATATATATAGTATATATAATATATAATAGTAAGAGAGAGAGAGAGAGAGAGAGATAGAGAGAGAGAGAAACTTTATGCCAACTAAGTGGACGTCCACCTAATTCTTAGTCCAGTTGATGACACGGATGGAGCTACATGTGGATGGACGCGTTCTTGAACTTGATTATACACATCAAAACCGCACACACTAAATTGGGGTGAAAACGTCTCGGTTTGACCCTTCATCCACTCGTATCAATTTTAACGGGTTTCGAACTGAATAGAATTTTTTACATGGCTTCGACGGAAGGTTAACCCACGACGAGTTCAACCTGCCAAATTTGTGTTTGGGCGTTTTAAAATATATAGCTCAAGTTTAATGGAAGCGGATATCCAAATGAGCTCAATCAAACTAGTGGATGTCCACTTAGGTTACATAAAGTTCTCTCTTCCTCTCTCTCTCTCTGCTCTCTAATATATATATATATATATACTAGTATATATATAATATATATATATAATTATATATATATTATAGTATAGATATATATATTCTAATATATATATATATATAATATATATACTCAATCAAAGGGTAGTTGGATGTCCACTAAGTTTGATTGAGCTACATTGTGGATAATCTCCCTACTACGGCGTCAGCTGCGATCCCTCCACTGGCCGCGTCGCCGACATCTCCCTCCGTGGCGAGTCCCCGGACCCTATCCTTGCTCGCTCCGGCCTCATGACAGGCTCCCTCTCCCCCGCCCTCTGCCGCCTCGACCGCCTCGACTCCCTCATCCTTGCCGATTGGAAACAGGTCTCCGGCCCCATCCCCTCCTGCATCAGCTCCCTTTCGTTCCTCCGCCATCTTGATCTTGTCGGTAACCAGATCTCTGGCCAAATCCCGGTAATCTTAAAGCTTTAACCGTTCTCAACCTCGCTGATAACAAGCTTTAACCGGGAACCAGCTTAGTGGCTCCATACCGGCGCATTTCGGGAGTCTCAAGATGCTCAGCGGCGCTCTTATGGCTAAAAACCAACTCAGCGGATCAATCCCTGGTTCTAATCGAACCTCTAAAGAGCCTTCGTTTCTTGGGAATTGATAGGAACTGACCTTGCACCTACTTCAAGGCATACTTTTGCTCTTTAACTTTTTATAATGATCCTTATATTTGGGTGTATCCAATATGTTATTACCTCTACAACTCAGCCACGTCATTTCAATTTTTCCTGAGTAGATCAATTGACCATATATTGAAGTGAACGGTATGCCATGATACATGCAAGTTACTTTGTATTTGACTATCCTACATATTTATCCTTCAACTATTTTGAATGTCTTATTAGGATTTTGAGTTTTCCTTATGCTTGTAGATTCTTCCGCCATGTCCTCTAAACCTTCACATTCTCATGAGCTTAAATATGATTTTTTTTTTCAGTGTACTCTGCCCAGGAACAATGTTCTGGTGGACCAATCTCAGAGCCTAGAGCGTAGAATTATTGGTCTGCATAATCAAATAAAAGTGAAACCTCAAATATGAAGTTTTCATATTTGGTGAATGAAGATAGAAATTCCAGGGCAAGCATGGATATACCTTTTGAATTGTTGATTCTTATTTTTGAGAAGATGCAGCAACTTGCTCTTAGCAAGAGGGAGGAGTATATCTAGCCATCCAGGTTGAAGCATTATCTGTAATGAATCTAACGTTGATGGCAAGTAACCCCTCAGAGAGAGAAAGGTATGCTGCTTTCTATTTCACTGCATAGACGCAGTCTTCCTACTCAAAAAGAAACCTGATTAGTTTGTACATTAACAATTACATAGGTTTGGACTCGTGCAACTGTTGGAGGTTTTTGCCGAAGTTATTGCAGAAGGAAATTGGCTTGTGCGTGAGAAAGCAAGCCGTGCGTCTTCGGTTTCTTTTACTTAACTGTAGGTTTTCATCTTTGCTTGTTGTGCCATTATCCATGATATTCCTTACAGCCTAATAAATTATTTTCTGCTCTTTTACTCTCCCCTTCTTTACCATGGTTCGGTAGAGTTTTGCTCAACATTGACGGTTTAAATGAGAACAAGCTGGGACTCTGCTTCCATAGATTAGCCATTTCCCTTCTAGTGAATGGTTACGTTCTTAGATTGAGAGGGAGTTTGTTTTATTTATTTAAGGCATATATATTTTTCAGCTTAAAAGCTGTTGGTGCATATATTTTGATTCAATATAATATAGGAATAGATAACCTGGTTGCGACAACCTAATACTTGTTCGTATTCTACAAGATGCACAATTGCACATAACTGTTACGGTACATCTAATTAAGTATAGTCTTCTTTACCATCATGTATTTGCTTAGCAATTGGCATTTGAGACCTTTATTTTGGAATTGTAGGCCCAAAGGTGTTATCGGTGTTTTGTGATGAAACTGACCATGCAAAAACAACAGATTGCCTAATAGCTATACCAACATTACGGGAAGGAACTAACCGTATCTTTGAGAGCCTAGCAGAATGCTTAGCTTGTGCTGGAGTTAATACTGAGATATGCATTTATAGAATGAATTTCTATGAAGGATACATGGTGCATGTGTGTCTCTGTATGTGCATGCATGTCTGTGTCCATCTGTCTTGTATCATGAGCTTGTACCACTATAATAGCTAAACAAAAAACTGTTATATATTTAACTTTTATCTTATAGAAACCAATGCCTGGATCATCATTTTCCTTTTTATTCTTTATTATGAAAGCCAACAGACTATGCTATTAATTCTACTATGTCGGGTCTGGTGCCACTAGTCAGATTCAATTATAATTATAATAGAGAGAATTTTTGGAATTAGCTTGGGGCATAATTATTATGTGACTTCGGGTTTGTTTGTAATGCATTAATAGCCTTATAGCAATTTTACGTAAACCCAATAACAATTGCGGAGATAACTACAAAAATGAATTCTATGAAAGTGATGTTTCTTGATGTTCTTTACCGTAAAATTGCTTATGGATTTATTTTATGATCAATTGTAAGTGATTATGATTGGTCTATTTATCTCTCATGTGTTTTCAGTATTCTTCTTTCACGGTATACAATAATCATTCTTTTCTTTTTTAGTTTCCAATTCTTGTTTGTATAATTGCTCAATATGTCTAGAAGGGAACATAATCATTCTTTTCTTTTTTAGTTTCCAATTCTTGTTTGTATAATTGCTCAATATGTCTAGAAGGGAACATTTGTGATATAAGTGCTGCTCAATATGTCTAGAAGGGAACATTTGTGATATAAGTGCTTTCAGACATCCGACTTAAACTAAGTTACAATACTCTCGGTATTAATAGTTTACATATGTAATACTGCAAACTATAAATTATCCTAGACGGAAACTTGGCTGTTTCAGGTTTACTGACTTTGTTTTTACCATGTTTCTTGCAGTGTCTCTGAAACCCGCGGAAACTTGGCTGTTTCAGGTTTACTGACTTTGTTTTTACCATGTTTCTTGCAGTGTCTCTGAAACCCGAGCTTTTTGAAGGATTACGTTTTGACTTCTCTGAAACCCGAGCTTTTTGAAGGATTACGTTTTGACTTTACAAAAGGTTTGAACCAGAAGTTTTCACCGAGTCACAGGTAATCTAGTATTTAATTATTGAATGATTATGAATTCTTCTAAAGTGTTAGTGTATTGAATGATTATGATTTATGTTGTGCGCAGCGGAACTCGAAACCACACGAACAAGCACAAGATAAATCACAACCAAATAAGCCAAACACAATACCACATCAAGACAAACGAATTTTATGTGGTTCGGCAATGTGCCTACGTCCACGGGGCAAGGAGGGGAGAGTTCTTACTATTAGAAATCAAGAGAATACAAATAGGGTTACAAATCTCACCAAATAAATCCTAAAATAAAGCCTCTAAATCTCTCACAAATCTCCCACAATTAGATGCAACAATCCCCTCTCAAAGACTGCTCAAAACGTCCTTACTTAATCCTAATTAATTAGGATTAGACTTATATATCAACTTAGAAACAAAACGGGTTGAAATTCAAAACTCAGCTTAGACCCGACTCGCGGTCGACCGTTGCGCCATGCGTGGTCGACCGTGAAAACGACAGAAACTTTTCTAAGTATCTGGACTTTTGGCGGTCGACTGCCGCACCAAGCGCGGTCGACTACGACATGATACTGAACAAAACTCATGCTCATGCACGTTGGCGGTCGACCGCCGCGCCACACACGGTCGACCACACAGCACCCAAACCTGTTCCTTCGTCTTTTCCTGCGGTCTTCGTCGTTGTGTTCGCCATTTCTTCAATTCTCCACCTCGACAAACATTTCTACCAAACTGAGCCGACACCAAATCATCCAAATGTCCCACTTGTTGCGTCCAGGACGAAGTGGAAACAACCCACGACAACGGACTCAATCCACAACAAGTCGGGAATCTAAACGAGAGCTCAAACAATCTCCCCCCATCAAAATCAACAAATCTAACCGGCTGCATCAAACGTGACTACCTACGTATCCTCTTGCCAAGGAATCAAGCCGAACGTAGTTCACCTAAATGACCTCCAAAGGCCCTCAACTCTGAAGAATATTTAATAGCTTCATACAATGACCAAATTTCACACCTGAAACAATATTGGTCAACATATCCGCAGGGTTGTCTTTCGTGTGTATCTTCTCCAATATGACGTCTCTATCATCCAATACGTCACGAACAAAGTGGAATCTGACATCAATGTGCTTCGTGCGTGCATGATAAACCTGATTTTCGCCAAATAAATAGCCGACATGCTATCACAATATATCCGAAGGGTCTCCTGTGTAATTCCCAAGTCCTCTAGCAATCCACGCAACCACAAAGTCTCCTTAACATCTTCAGTCACCGTCATATATTCCGCCTCTGTAGTAGAGAGAGTCACTGTAGACTGAAGTGTACATCTCCAATATACCGGTGCACCTGCTAGTGTAAACACATATTCTGAAGTAGATCGGCGCTTGTCAAGATCCCCCGCATAATCTGAATCCACGTAGCCAATACAATCCTGCCCATTCTTCTCACTCTTCTGAAAAATCAATCCAACATCCACGGTGCCTTTAACATACCGTAGAATCCACTTCACTGTCTCCCAATGACCCTTCCCGGGATCGTGCATGTACCTCGATACCATACTCACGGTCTGTGACAAATCTGGCCTCGTACACACCATCACATACATCAAGCTACCCACTGTACTGGCATATGGAACATTCGACATATAATCTCTGTCCTCAACAGAAACATGTAACATATTAGCTGAAAGCTTGAAGTGGGGAGCCAATGGAGTGCTAACTGTTTTTGCATTGCCATTAAAGCTGAATTTCTTCAACATCTTCTGCAAATAACTCCTATGTGTAAGATTCAATCTCCCCTTCACCCTGTCTCTCTCGATCTCCATACCCAATATCTTCTTAGCTTATCCAAGATCCTTCATTTCAAACTCGGATGACAACTCCTCTTTCAACTTTCGAATAGCCGAAGAATTCCTGGAAGCAATAAGCATATCATCAACATATAAAAGTAAATACATATGCTTACCATCCTGTAGTTTGTAAATGTAAACACATGGGTCATATGGGCTCCTCGTGTACCCATGACCAATAATGAAGCAATCGGATCTCTTGTACCACTGTCGCGGCAATTGCTTCAAATCATAAAAAGACTTCTTCAGCTTGCAAACCAAATCTTTCTTTTCTGCAGATTTGAATCCCAATGGTTGTGTCATGTAGATCTCATCATCTAAATATCCGTGTAAAAAGGCTGTCTTAACATCCATCTGGACCAAATCCAAATCCAGCTGTGCCACCAATGCCAATAAAATCCGAATCGACGAATGCTTCACAACGGGTGAAAATACCTCGTTGTAATCAACACCCTCAAGCTATGCATATCCCTTGGCAACCAATCTAGCTTTGTACCTAATGTCCCTAATAGAAGATCCCTCGTTCTTCGCATATACCCACTTGCAACCAATAATTTTCTTACCTTTAGGTAGCATTGTAAGTTCCCAAGTATCGTTCTTCTGAAGAGATCGCATCTCCTCCTCCATAGCTTCCCTCCACTTGATCGAATCGGGGCTAGACTTTGCCTCCTTGAATGTGGATGGAACCATATCAACGATCTCCACTGATAATGCATATGCGACCATGACATCATTATACCTAGCTGGCCGACGAATCACCCTTCTAGGTTTGTTCGCTGCAACAGACTCTTGAACATGATCCTGCTCCTGAGTCTCACAATCCACTGTATATCCTCTATTTGCCCGGCTGTCATCCCATCTCCTTCCAGTGTCACCTCTGTAGGACCCTCAATGGATACAATGCTATTTGGAGTGGGTGGAGTCACATCATCCTCTACCTGTTGCGATATCTCTCTAATCTGGTCTTCCTCCACTTGCTGAGGAATTTGAGGTCTCATCATGTACGCCTCATCAAATGTGACATCCCTACTAATAACTATCTTCTTATCATGTAGATCCCATAATTTGAAGCCTTTAACTCTATCTCTAAATCCCACAAAGACTACCTTCCTCGCCATCATATTCAATTTACCATCACTAACATGATAATAAGGACACTCAAATATCCGAAGCGACTCATAGTCACTAGCTACCGAATCAGACCAACGCTCCAAAAGAGTCTTCCTCTGTATCCTAGTGCACGATAACCTATTAACGAGATGACTCATATAAACCAACGACTCGGCCCAAAAGGATCTAGGCAATCCACTCCGCGATATCATACATCGCACCTTCTCCAGTAAGGTACAATTCAATCTCTCAGCCACCCCGTTCTGTTGCGGTGTCTCTCGAACTGTGAAGTGTCATCTAATGTCGTGATCTTGGCAAAACTGTAGAAACGGATCACTCTTATACTCTCCACCGTTATCTGAACGTAGAGTCTTTACCTTTCTACTTGTCTGCAGCTTTATTTTCTTCTTTCACTCCACAAAAATATACAGGACTTCATGTTTATGCTTCATAGATTATACCCAATTCCTCCTGGAATAGTCATCAATGAAAGTGACAAAATAGTTGGCCTCACCAAGTGATGTGTTCTTGGAAAGGCCTCAAACATCTGTGTGAACGTAATCCAATATACCTTGGGTATTGTGAATAACGGTGCCAAACTTCACTCTAGTCTTCTTCCCAAGTACACAATGCTCACACAACTCCATCTTGTAGGTCTTAGCACCTATCAAAAGCCCATGTTTCGCCAGTGACTGCAGGGACTTATCACCTGTGTGTCCTAGTCTCATGTGCCATAGAGTAGTAGTGTCCTTTTCTGTAGTGATAGAAGCTGTCAGATCTCCTGTAATTGTTTTGCCCTTCAAGTAGTATAGAAAGTTTCCCCTGACTCCTCGCATCACCCCATAGAACCCTTCGTGATCTTCACGGTAGCATCTTCTAAGGTCACCCGATAACCAGCTGCTTCCA